TGTGTGCTGACGTCAGTAAAAAAGGTTTGCCCCCCCAAGCGCACATGTCAAACTCTGCCTATGCCAACACCTCAGTCATTGTAATAATGACTATCGTCAATCTGTCTTAAGTACATTGTTGTGAGACTAAGTTGCAGAAAGATAAAAGAAGGACACACTTAATCACAGTAAATTGCTGTTTGTTTAATGTTACCAAAATAAAAGCCAATGGTCCAACAGAGTAGTCATTTTAACTTAGATGCTTCTCACGATCTCAATAGGTGTTGTGGGTCAAACACTAACCCCATGGCCACATCGTAAGACACATTTCTTTTTCATCTGTGTTTTGTAAACATTATGAAAGGCAATTTAACTCGACAGGTGCATCAGATCAGAAAACGCTTCTATGTGGTGTCCTATAGGTAAAGGGTGTATTTGTTTGTATAATCTGGAGAACTATAGCGCTATACAAGTCACATGTATTATTATTATTATGATTATTATTATGGTTCAAACTGGCTCTAGAAGACAGAGATTTGAGGATTCAAGCCTTTATTGAGGGTACTTAAGGGATGGGGAGAGGATCAAAGCCCAAGAATGACAAGAAAATATTGGTATGTGTCCCTCTAGACTTCCCGTAAAGGATCATTGGATTGTATAATATGACACAACACATTCTCACTCCCAACTCGTGCTATAGTGACGTTATATCAGGATCCCTTGGCGTCACCACGAAACGCAGTGGGGGGCCCTTTAGCGTCGATCTCCAACTATCAGGGAGTCCCATTGACTTGCATGGAACTCCCTGAACGTTGGTAATAGACGAGTTGGGATCGCGGAGAAATGCTTTCCGAGTCTAATGGCGCGTTTCCACTGCAGGCCTCGCTCGGCCTCGCTCGGTTTGGTTAGGCCTTATTAGGCCCGCCTCACTTTAATGCTGCGCTTCCATTACAGTTTAGGAACTGGGGCAGTTACTATAGTAACGCAGTGTAGGCGGAGCCGTGACGTAATCTTCAATGAGCGCCCCAAAAACCAACACAGCCGTTAGCTCTTAGCAGAGATGAGCTCACAGCTCTTCATATCTGTTCAGAAACTAGACAAAAGTTAAAAAAAAGTACAAACCACAGACTGCCTGTGTCATGGAGAATACAGTCGCTGGTTTATTTATGTCTGTATAGGCCGTTGTTGTGAGTGTGGACGGTCGGAGCATATATAACGTTAGCTTAGCCGAGCTCCATTTAGAAAACACGTATTTTAAAGGGTTTTTCGCCTGCCGTCTGTCTGCAGACTTGTCAAAGCATTAATTCATGGTTTTTACTAACCGGTATCAGTATGTTGTTACTTCGGCATCATTTAGAAACGTGTATTACAATTAAATCACGGTCAAATATGTTCATCTTGTTGTAGTTATAGCCCCCTTGCCAGCGATTCTCTCTCTAGTTTAGCATACTCAGCCCGACTCAGCCTGGTTGTTCCTGGCCCTTGAACCACGATTTAGTCGGGCCAGAAAATACGTGAAAAAGTAGCCCCGGCCAAAACTAGGCCAAGTGGAAACGCAACCAAAAACGGGCCCCGCACGACTCGGCACGCTTAAAGCGATTTACCCGCTGCAGTGGAAACACGCCATAAGACTCTATGAAAAGTACTTTTTGAAGGGAGCATGGTGTCAGTTTAGTTTGATTTCAGGGGTTTAGAGTTAGCTGAAAGTATTTGAGTCAAAGTGATCAGGGCTTCCATTCTTTGGAAGGGCTCTCCTTTCTGTTTGATTGAACAACAAAATGTGTGTTATGAGTTTCAATTGAGATAGCTATGTTCATATGCCTGGAAACTTTCTCGAAATCCATCCCAGAAACCCCTCTTAGACCTCTCTAGATCCCTGAACTTGTCCACGAATAACCATCCAAACAAAGCCCAAAGGTTCCGTCACTTAACTCCGACTAAAACAGTTTTTGTTTTTTTTCCAATATGCTGAGTGTTGGCTCTCCTCACACACAGAAAACAAAGCGCTCAGCCTGGCGTCGTTGGATTTAATGCTTATTTAAAGTAAATGGAGGCGGCTGGGTGCCAGTCTAAACACTATCCGGCCTTGTTTGGCACTTTTTTTACGAGGACATGCTGATGATGATGTAGGATGAATTTGAGAGAGTCGCCGTGGAGTCTGCATGCAGGGACGAACTCACATATATCTGTCTGATTCCCGCGTGCACATATTGAAATGCACATATATTATTATATTATATTTACTACCTGCTGGATGAGGAGGAGGAGAGACGCCAGGCAGCATCCAGTTTAGAGAACGTTCAACATGCACACAGTGAGAGTCTTGTTTTCTGTATTCTTTGTCCAATACACTAATATCATTGATATAATGTTGTTTTGACACGAATGCATTTGTTAATAAATACTATTTGGTTTAGAGAAAATAATTACTGAATAATTTCTTTAACAGCACCAACAACATTTTACCCACGATGCATCAGCATAATGATATCACACAGAGGCAACTGAAACAAGCTTAAACTGTGACTTTTCTTCAGTGTCACACTTAGAAAGTGACACACTTAGTGACACACTTAGAAAGCTCTAATGTAGAAAAATAAATTCAGGTTCTCAATAATTTTGTGATGTTTTTGTGTCACCCAAAAAGTGAGAACCACAAAAATGCTTTATACATATTTCTGAAATATTAATCTATTATATATTAATATTTTCTTACAGTAAGTTCCAATGTTATGGTCTGGAATATTGTGTTTATTATTCAACATATTGATGATTATTTTACAAAAGAAATATACTAAATATAAAAAATAAAAAAGGGTGTTATCGATAGTAACATACAGTAATGATGTTTGGGAAACTGCTTTGATAATTATAGCAAATAATGGAACATAATAACGTTAAAAAAGGCTTGTGTGGAAATGTCTTAATTACAAGAGAAACCTTCATAACTTGTATTACATGCAGACCTTATCATTGTGGTTTTACTATAGAATCAGGACACGAATGAACATGTTAAATCTGAATTAAGTGTATTTGTTTTTGTTTGAATCACATCCTTTTTTTTGCCGGCTGCTAGCTGAGAGAGCAGCCCGCAGGAGGAGCGAGGGCAGCGGGGGGAGAGAGGTGGAGGTCCCGCTGAAAACGGAAAGAGGAGCTGATAGCAGCAGATTAGCTCCGGCTAAAAACGTCCATCAGTTTTCCAGCAGGAATCTTAATTGCCCCGGGGGCCCTGCTTATCGGCCCGCGGAGGGTTATTAATACAACACCCGCGATAACAGAGACGAGAGACCCCGAGAGAGCAGCTGCTGCAGGAGGAAAAACTAACTCTCAGATTAAGAGGGGGGGGGGGAAGGAAGACTATTTTGAATATTGTACCTCTGGGACACTTTTCCTTTACATTCGTAGCTAATACTTTCTCTTATTTTGCGGCAAAGGGTGTCACTTTGTGTGAATCTGTGCTGTCCTGTTTTTCAATCTCACCCTGTTGTTGTTTAAACTTCTGAATTTCCCCACGGGGATTAATAAATGTCAATTTGATTGATAAAATGTTTTTCAACATATATACATTGAGGTAATGTAATAGGGGGATTCATTTGAGGTTAGAGAAAATAACTCAGATTGGAGGAAATCATATTTTGTGTTCATTTAAATAAGCTTTTTTTACAGTTGATTGCACGTGTTTTTTTTAAATATATTTACCTAGAATTTTTCAAATAAACCTTTTTTTTTAAAGTTTTCTTCAGTATGGTCTTCTTACACATTGTACTTTGAAAAGCAACATCAGCCCTTTCAAAGAGTAAAAGGCTTTATTGGCGTTTTATCATAATACGTGAAGAGTGACATTTTTAAAAGTCATATGGCATTTATTGATTGGCTGCTTCATTACATAAAATAAGAAAATGTTTCACTGTTGTAGAGTCTGACAGAACACATCTTTGAACACTTGGACATTTCTTAAACTTAGGAGCAAACAGTTAAGTTTAGAAACGTTGAGAGGAGTCCAACGAACCTCAGCTTCACGATGTGTCTTTTTGGTGAGCCATTCAGAAAGATAACTCAACACACAGCAGTTCAGGAGTTGGTTTGTGTGAGATCTGCAGGGCCCATTTTGTAGAAGAAGATGCAAAAACACACATGTTACTCCCTATTTGAACCACCTTAAGTCAAAAGGGTTATTTAAACCTCTCAAGTAGACGAGGCTTCACCGCAGATCTTATTGACACAAATATACGAACATACTATACAAATGGAAAACCAGAGACAAAATCCACCTGAATGTGTTTGATTTTTATTTTGATATACTTTATTAATCCCCGTGGGGAAATTGTTTCTCTGCATTTGACCCATCCTGTGTTAGGAGCAGTGTGCTGCCATTTTGAACGGCGCCCGGGGAGCAGTGTGGGGAACGGTGCCTTGCTCAGGGACACCTCGGTAGCACTTGGTCTTGCCGGGACTTGAACTGGTGACCTTCCAGTTGCCAAGCCAAAAAGTTCCACTTTTCCCCTATCATCAACTCTCTGGATGAAGTTAAACAACTACGGGTTCCTGCCTCTATTACCCTTTGACCTGACTGTTGACCTTGACGTGCCACTGCCCTTAAAGCGAGTGTGCCGCACGCTGCGCCTCTCCAAAGAGCGCACTGATTTACGCACGGGCAAACACAAGGACTCCAATACACTGAGCGACTGTGGAATCATTAAAACTACAATTAACACGTATTAAAACATAATAAAGCACATGTATAGATATAGGTGACCTTTTTGCAATCACAGGTTAAGACTCACAAAGTGATTTTTGTATTAAAATGCGTGCGTTAGGACGAATCCAGCGATGGATAAAGAGAAGAGAGTGGAGAGGAGTGGGGGTCAGTAGCTACAATTATCTGCCCACCATATTTATATAAGACCGAAAACAAAACCAGTACGTGAACACACGTCACGTACACGCCCCATCTTCCCTCTCTCTCCCCCTCGATTTCCCAAATCGCTTCCAGCCTGCACGCACTTTCCATTTCACACTCACCCCTCCCCCTGACACCAGAGGAGGCAGAGGCGCTCCTTCGTCCCGGCCCAAACCCCACTCACAAAGCCCGACATTACATCTGTCAGACAGGAGACCTGCATGGACAAAACCGGAACTAATACCCATGTGTTCGTGCGTTTCACTGCGATGAGGGATTCCAGAGGCTTAACGCACCTCCAATTACGCGAGAAGGAGCTATTTGGCTCAATTATTTGTTAGAGAAAGAGTGCAGGGAAAGGAGGAGTGCATGTTACTCCGTGGGCTTCATTTCCTCGGAGCTGCAGAGCAGGAGCTGGATGACATGATGCTGCAGAGTCCGCTCACCTCCACGCCGTTTTCCGTCAAGGATATCCTGAAAATGGAGCAGCAGCAGCAGCAGCAGCAGGCCGGGTCTCTGGAGCTCCAGCACCGGGTACAAACACAGCAGTTACCCGGTTCTCCTCCCCAGCAGCAGCACTTCCAAACCCCACCGTCCTGCATGCTCGCAGCGGCCCGGGAAAGTCCTTCGTTTTCGGACGGAGAGGACAACCTGGCGTACCTGAGCGCGCTGGCGGTGCGTGGAGAGGAGGACCGCGGGGACACCAGCCTCTCCCCGGACATGTACGGGCACCCCGGCCTGCAGGGAGCCAAGCTGGAGGCCAACGAGCTGGAGAAGCATGAGAGCAGTGAGTTCAAACCGCTACTGTGCAGACAAAAGGCAACAAAGGAACCGTGCAATAAGAATCATTACATCATTATCAGGGTTTTACAGAGAAAACAACAAACCGTAAATTATAAATGTGTGCTGCCTATTTGAATGTAACAGTTTTGGTGGCGAGAGAATCGTTTAGCAACAATAGCAGCTTAACCTGTAACCTTAACCAAAGTGAAGTCATGCAAATGAGACACGTTACCTCTATACGCACGATGTAGTTGTTATATGTAAATTATAATTTAAAACAATCTAATATTTTGTATTAACTTAGTAAAAGGTCAGTTTGAAATGTCAAGCAAAAACTGGAAAGGAAAATACATTGTGTGTAATTTTCTAAATAATCATGCAGCTATTTTATGGCCAATTATTCCAGTATTTTAATTATTATATGATCACTTGTGTGACCTTCAACATTAGCCCCACTATAACTCAATCTATAGGCTGCACACATGTCAAATCCCTTTTTTTTAAAAAGTGAAAACACATTCTGTTTTAGAGATATCTTCTAACTTATGTAGAAAAGTATTTTGTCCTAAGATGCTCACCAAACATTATCCCAGTAAAGAGTTATTCCTCACGCTGGAGGTCCCTAACTCTGAAGGATCCAGTAAAGTCTGTCAAACAGTCTGCAGGGCTTCGTTACGCCAGTCTGTTATGATGTGTGGACCATCAACCGACAATTAGTTTAAAGAGGCTGTAAAAGAAAAGACACCGAGAAGTAGCTCTGATAAACACACCCAGCTCAACCCGGGATAATTACTCATTAGATATAAACAGTTACAATATACTACACTACTTTGTGTACATACTATCTGTCTGAAAATGACAATTGGCCAACTGTATTTTAAACCAATCCGATTGATGTTGCACTTGTTGCACGGTGTATCCTTTAAAGATCAGTGTCTGGTGTGAAATTGCCTAATTTATATAATAGTTTCAGGCAAAAATGCTGATGAAATAATTGCAAACTAGATCTTCCCTTAAAAAGTAAAGAGTAATAATACTTGTATTTGTTGCACGGTTTATTCTTTATCTCCCTGGTGTTTTATATGTTATGTGTACTTGCACTTTGACTTAAAACATGTGTTTTGTAATGTTATGGTAGTTTCTAATTGAAGGAGAGATCTCATGTTTGATCCACTTATTAAAGTGTGTAGTGCTGCAGTTTCTGTTCAAAGTCTAAGTGCACGGGTTGGGGCATGATGAGCTTTTCTGTGCCAGCTTAAAGTTTTTACATTTTCAGAAGTTCATTCAGCAAAGGAGATGTTTCTGTTTGAGTTTTAGTCCCGGCCGGCAGTGGATATTATTGGATTTATTTTTGAACTATGTAACGTGTTTAGTGTTTAGTGTTTAGCTTCAGCTCAAACATAAAGGTGTGGACTAATATAATTGGCATATTATTGTTTGGTTTCTAAGCTTTTTTGTGTACGCATTCTTGCTTAAAACATATTTTGTCATATAGGACTTTTAATAAAGCTAAGGAGAAGTGTCCTGTTTAAGTTTTATGGTGGATATTTCTTGGATTTAATGTGCACTATTTAATACAGTTTTTACTGCTAAGACTTCTGCTCAAAAACTACCAAAGGCGTATTAGCTGTACACTGATAACGTTGGCATTACATTGTTTTTTACTTCTGAAATAACATGTTATGATTTGAGATATTAAAACTTCTTCCGTGTCCTCCCTCCCTCCCCAGAGAGCTGCGGTCTGGTGTCCCGGCAGGAGGCCTCGGAGGGCGGGCAGGCTGACTGTGATCGGCCTGCGCAGAAGCAGCGGAGCCGGCGGAGGCCCCGCGTGCTCTTCTCCCAGGCGCAGGTCTTCGAGCTCGAGCGTCGCTTCAAGCTGCAGCGATACCTGTCCGCCCCGGAGCGAGAGCACCTGGCGTCCAGCCTCAAACTCACCTCCAACCAGGTGAAGATCTGGTTCCAGAACCGCCGATACAAGTGCAAGAGGCAGCGGCAGGACAAGTCTCTGGAGGCGGCGGGGCAGCACCACCCTCCGCCGCCGAGACGCGTGGCTGTGCCGGTGTTAGTCCGGGATGGGAAGCCTTGTTTGGGGGGAGGGCAGACGTACTCCGGTGCTCCGTATGGATCCAACCCGTATACCTATAACGGATACCCGGCGTATACTTACAATAACCCCGCTTATAACAGCAACTACAGCTGCACATACACCAGCATCCCCTCCCTGCCCCCCTCCAGCACCTCCAGCGCCTTCATGAACATGAACTTGGGAAATGTGAGCAGCCTCGGAGGATCAACACAGGCCCAAACTCACCAAGGGACATCGGTCGCATCCTGCCAGGGCTCCCTGCAGGGGATCCGGGCCTGGTAGCCTCACCAGAACCCGGGCCTGGTAGCCTCACCAGAACCCGAGCCTGGTAGCCTCACCATGAACCCGAGCCTGGTAGCCTCACCAGAACCCGGGCCTGGTAGCCTCACCAGAACCCGGGCCTGGTAGCCTCACCAGAACCCGGGCCTGGTAGCCTCACCAGAACACTGTATTTCTTTTTATAAATGGAGCTCTTTTATTTTGGTCAACACAGGCTTTTAGAAGTGTGTTCATTTGATCAGAACTCCTCCGAAATTAGTATTTTATATTTTATATATAAAGGATGGGAGTTTGGATTCCTGGTAGCCTTACCAGACCAGAACTGTTTCTTTTGTTGGAGCTCTTGCAATTTGGTTCAACCCACACGCTTTTAGAAGTGTGTTAACTTGGTCCAAACTTGGTCAGAAAATAGTATTTTATATATAAAGGATGTGAGTTTGGATTCTTGTGTCAGATGACATTCACTCATATTTCCGTCTAGGCGTCAGAGTGGCACCTAAACTGACAAACGCTTGGGTTCAAGTTGATGTCTTTTTTTCAATTATTATTAGTGCTCTATTTTGGCACTTGGACTGAAGCACAGGGGGACATTACGCACAAGATTTGCGCATTTCTCCTTATTTGAACAAAAAAGATGGTTCATATTTTTCATGTATGTTTTTAAAATGGTATATATTTGTAATCTATGGAGAGATGAAATTGCTTTAAGTGTTGTGGTTTTTGGTTAAAAGGAGAACTGTTTCAGTCTATTTCACATTTATTCAAATAAATCTGAGACATGAGAACAAGGTGCGTTTGATTTTGTAAGATAATATTTGATCCTCTTATTAGATTTCAAACGGCATGCTGAGCTGAAACTGTATTTTCTACCTAAATAATTGAAGAAAGAATAATAATTCTCTATATATTATTGCTCCGATTTGGGGTCACAGGGGTGAATCAAATGCTCAGTTAAATGTGTCTCGTAAACATACAGGGCAGATCTGCTGCAGGAGAACCGGCTAAAGGGACTCTTTGTCCCGGTGCCAAGCGAAGTGAAAGGAGGAAGTATAATTCTCCATTTGGGGTCCTTTAAAGGACGCGATTAGGCACCTAAAATAGCCCAAAAACCGAGCTGCAGCCACGCAAAGGAGTGGGAATAATGGCTCTTATTGGATTGTGGGACAAAAGGTGTGTGGTAGGCAGAGCCGGGCACTCAGCAAAGACAAAAGCGCGCAGGGGCCGTGAGATTGACGTCCTAATATTCCCATTTGAGGGACAGGCAGCGGGTTATTCTGCGCGGAGAATTGGGGACATGGAGGAAAAATGTGGTCACTTTTGTTCCCCTTCAGGAGGCTTTTTTTGTTCGCGGAGAAAGGCTCGCAAAGGTCCCCAGCCGGGCTGGAGGTGATGGCAGCGGGGAGGCGTTTGTGTGAAAGAAGGGGGTATTATTGCTACAAGTTTCACCATTTATCCCGAAGTGGAGAATTTGAAAGGGGAGGAGGGGGAGTGAGGTTCATGTCCCTGCTATTATTTCAGTTTGAGGGTGTTATTTCAGCTCAGATAGAGGCTATTCTCACAGGTAACAGACTAAATCCTGACGGGACAAAGACTAGGGCTCTTATAATAAAACCTAAACAAATCTTAGATGTAAGAAATGACAGAAAAACATGAATATTTTACAGTTTCTTTCACGGAATCCATGAGTCTAAAGTGAGTATTAATACAAAATAAAATAGAGTCGGATGTTTTAAGAATCTGCTTTTTTGGTTGCAAATGATCCAAAAACCAACAATTTGATTACATTGACCTGTTTTATCGACATTTGAATGTTAACGTGGGAGTCATTCAAAAAAGTAAATTTGATCAGCCGTATTTGATTCCATCTCTCAAAATGGAAGACTTTGCAACTTCTTTCCGGGTTTCTGTGTAAATTGGACTTTTAGTCTGATGACAAAGAACTCGCTTTGGCTTGCAGTAAAATGTTCTGTTTCTCAATTAGAATAATAACACTGTAAAACAAGACTTTAAACCGATCAAAGTTATACAGTCAAACTACAGAGTTGTAATATTTTGCTAACATTATTCCTTGCAGCTGCTCAGGGTTGAGCTCATATAAATAACTCTACATTTAGCTGCTCTTGTCTGTTATTTGATTGGTCAATTGGACTCTAAGTCTGACAAAGAACTATTTTGGCTTGCAGTAAGTGTTTTTTTAAATGGGAGACTTCCAGGACGTTACAAAGCGCCTTTGTTTAAAACCATGCAGCATAATTAGTGGCGTTAATTAGTCATTACGGACAAATACGAGCTAAACAAAATTACACGCAAGGAAGGGGGTCAATTTCAGAGCAAATGTGTTTCCTCGGACATAAACCTGCCAACTTATTTGCTGCAATAATTCCCAGTAACAAAGATTATGGTGGAAATGGTGCGTAAATTACGCAGAGGAAGCGTCAATTGCTGTTTTTCTCTGCGCGTAATTGTTCCTCCGGCCTGAGAACGGTCGCTTCCCCAAAAGCCTTTCTGTTATAATTACAGCCACTCAGTGCTAATGTGGGACAGACGCTCCGCCTGAGAGGAACAGCGGGAGGCGCAGAGCTCATTTATTCTGGTTCTTATGAGCAGCTGTGATGACTGACAGGAGCTCAGGGAGGTGGAGAGTAACGGAGTACAATAACTGAAGTACATTTTACTTTACAAGTAGTACACTTAAGTACACATTTGAGGAACTTGTACTTTATTGATGTGCCACTTACAGACACTTGATACAATCTGAATAGTGATATTAATCAAATAATATATACTTTTTTAATACACATTTTAAAAGCAGACCCTTTACTGAGGAACTTTTCATTTATTTAAGTATTTTCTTTTGAACAGTAATATTAATACAAATTATAATATTATAATATTTAAGTACTTCTACTTAAGTAGACATTTGAGGAACTTTTTAGTTATTTAAGGTTGTTCTTTCTGTGCCACTTACAGACACTTGATAAGAACAGAATAATCACATTAATACTAATTATTTATTTTATTATAATATTTATATTTCTAGTCAAATGTGTACGTTGGATGTTAAGACTTTAAGTATTTATTGTATTTGTAATTGAACAGCTTTAGTTACGTTTTAGATTTTGATTATTAGCTTAAACAAAATATTAAATAAACATGAAAGTACATTTACTCAATTACTTAGGTACAAATTTGAGGAACTTGTACTTTATTTAAGTATTTTTTCTGTGCCACTTACAGAGAAAAACAGAATAATAATAGTAATGAAATAATGATATTTAAGTACTTCTACTTAAGTCACATTTTAAAATCAGACCCTTTACTTAGAGTGATATTTTAAGGATTTTTATTTTTGTATTTAAGAGCTTTACTTACTTTTTAGATTTAGACTATTAGCTTGTACTAAATATGAATTAATTAACGTTGAAATATAATTATGGGTTAAAATATCCAGCACCAGTCAAATACAAAATTAAAATATAATAATAATAATAAAGCACTTACACATCAGTAATTATACTTATATATATATATATATATATATACAATGAGTACTTTTACTCCAAGTTTTTTGTGATGGCAAGACTTCTGTACTTATATAGTGTAGTTATATTTTTGAATGCAGTACTTAGACTTGAAACAGAACATTTGGACAATTGCTTTTACTCGAGTAAACCTGTTTCGTCGATATGAGGAAAGGTGATTTGTTTTGTATACTATTAACATAAACGATCCTAAAATTATGTAAAAATAAGTGCTGTTTCCTGAGCCCGCGGAGCTTCTTTACGCACCTGTTGTTCCTCATCATTAGAGTTGAATTAAAGCTGATCCATTAGCAGCAGTAGGAGGAATAAAGGTTACCATCGGGCTGTTATCGCAGAGATCAGCACGTCTCTGTGCAGACAGTCGGCCGCAGATTGAGATCAGTCCGCCGTTAACCAGCTGATCTGTTGGGGACAAAACAGCGATAGAGAAACAGAGAGCCTCCTGCTAACTAATGGGGATTAACAATGAGTAAACAGAGAGTAAACAGAGCTGATAAGCCGAGGCCGCAGGACAGAGACTGATGGAGCAAACAGAGAGGAGACATGGAGGAGACATGGAGGAGACAGGAAGCACCGATACATCCGAGAGAGAATAATACAACATAACAAAACATAATAGTCATCTAAATATCAGAATCAGAAACAGCTTGACGCGCACGAGGAATTTGACTTTGTGTTAATACATCAAAGTAAACACAAAAATAGAGAACTATTATAATAAAATATAATTACTTGAAAAAATATTAAACATAATAACAGATATAGTAATATAATAAAATATGTATGTACTTAATACAAATGACTCAAAAATAAGCATATTTGTAGTCAAGTTATTAAACTGTATTTCCTAAATATATTTAAAGTACAACCGGAAAAAAAAGACTTAAAAATAACTTTCTTTGCTGAATTTTTGTAAAAGTTTAGAATCAAGTTTATTGCAGGTTAGGGTTTACACATTCAAGGAATACGCTTTGTTGGCTGGTGGTGTAAACAATATAAGAAAATAAGTTGCAATAGTAGGTCAAACATATAAAGATATTATATAAGTATTTTTAAATAATCTATTTAGCATTAAAAAAGATATTAGAGACAAGTATTGTCATATAGACAAAGGAAAACACTTATTGCAAACTACGGTGTAAACAAGTTTCTGTGGCAAATACTGCATGTTATGTTGTTGCAGCTTTTCCTTTTTAAACTAAGGTTGAGTTCCACTGCTACCATAATATTCCTAAAACGATGTAAGACGTAAATACATTCTCCAAAAGAAGAAAAGTCCTGTATTTAAAAACGTAACTTTAAAAGTTTTGAAGTATCAAAAGTAAAACAATACAATAATAATAATGTCAGAGTTGTACTATTGACATGTTATCATTATTTGTACTTGTAAAGTTCATTTGTAGGCAATAGCTCAGATATATATAAAAAACATGTCTATGAAGTGTTTTGCTCCAAACACCAAACAGATCATTCTAGCCATGCCTCATATCCCTCTATTTCACTTCCTGTTCAAAAGTGCTGATTTGGGTATAAAGCTTTAAAGAGGAGGGGTCTGAGCTCACGCGGGACCCGGCAGCTACTGTCTAAACTAAATGCTGCCGTGATGAAACGCCATATCATGGATTATCAAGGATTCTCTCTGAAACAGTTTGGAGCTCAAAGGCTTTCTCTCTTGCCGGTTACACCACAAGGTGAGTTCCTTTTTACTTCCTGCTTCTTCACACACATGCTCTCCAGTACAGGTTAGCTCTGAGTGTTAGCGATGCTAATGTAAACAAAGACCATATTACGTACAAAACAGTCGGGTATTGTTTCTGATAGCAACGTTTCTGATTGGGCCATGGGTCCACATTTCAGATATTACGTCATATCGGACGCAAATCTGGATCAGCTCCGTTGTTCCCCCGTTTTTAGAGATTTGGGTACGGAGGAAAAGAGAGAGGGTTTTATTTTCTGACGCTGCGTGAGTTCCCCGACACACCGGGGACACATATGTATAAAAGACATGAAAAAGTGCATTTTGCATGATAGGTCCCCTTTAAAGCTGCTCGGGGCTCCTATAATTAACTCTACTACTGTAATACAAATGCATCATATTTCTAATATTGATTATACATTTTGTATGTAAAATCTAAATCTGTAAATATTACAACACAGTCTCACGGCATTTTGTGTTATAGTCACGAAATTAATCTTTTGATTCGTGTTCACCAACACGATTTTCCTTTTTTTTTTCGTGTCAC